CTGTTGCCAGCAGCAGCAGTCGCGTGCGCAGTGCGCGCGCAGTGCGCGCGCATATATCGTGTGTGCGCGCGCTATGCGCGCAGAATGCTGCACAGGCTGCTGTGAAAAAGTGCACGCGCTGTGCGCGCGCAGTGCGCGCGCAGTGCGCGCGCAATGTTCACGCTGTGCGCGCGCAGTGTGCGCGCAGTGCGCGCGCAGTGTGCGCGCAGTGCGCGCGCAGTGCGCGCGCAATGTTCAAGCTGTGCGCGCGCAGTGCGCGCGCAGTGCGCGCGCAGTGCTGTGTGCGCATGCAGGCTGTCATGTGTGTGCACACTGATGTTGTAGTATTACTACATTACTACATGTTCTACTTTTACATAAAGCAGTTGCTTTTCTGTTAATGTTTGCATTTGGGGCCTCTGTACAGAACATATGACAAGTTTCTGGAGCATGCAGTGTTCTGTGCTCGAGCTTTAGAGAGAGAATGTGGCATCAGCATCATGTTCTTCATAATCATGAACAATGTTGTGCAGAGTCTGCAAATTCAGGGCAGTAGCATTGCAGAACGGACAGCACTAGTTCATCCAACGTGCAGTGTACACTCACTGTCCACTGATATTGTTGGGCAGCAGCATTGCGGAACGGACAACGACAACACTAGTCCATTGTCCACTGTCCATTGTCCACTGTCCATTGTCCACTGTTTGTGGAGAATGGGCCGGAAGGTCAATAGAAAGAAGAAGAATACTGCCAAAAAACCCGCCAGCAATCGGAGTGGCAGATCTGGTAAGTCGGGATGGGCACAATGGACGAAGAACAAGGCTGAAAATGCCAAAGAGCAAGAAGCAGAATCGCGAGAGCCGCCAGAATCAGAAGAAGACTCGCCTTTTTGTCATGTGGACGTGGAGGCTACAGATGATGTTGATGCATGTTCAACTCGAACGGTGAGCACACAAACGCCACGTTGGATTCGCCGTGTTCAGCCGGCGAAAGATGAGAAGGACTCGTGCTGTTTTTTCTCAATTGTGTTGATCAGCCCCGGTGCTTGCAGGACCTGAAGAGAAAAGGACGAACCAGCATGATGCATCACAGTCTGTGCCTGAGTGATGCTTTCAACAATGTGTTCCCATGCAATGTTTCGAGCCAGGTCGGGCTCTCGATGGCTTTGGCACCAATGAACTACTGGACTGTGGCCGGATGCTGTTTTGCCACTGACTACTACACTACTACCAATACTACCACAACTACTGGTTTGCAAGCTGTGTGGATTGCACGCAGGCAACGTTGTTCTCTTCCGCCCCGTGAAGAAGAAGCTGGCAGAGCAGAACTGAGAGCAAAAAAAAGCGCCATTGTTTTGATTGCAACTGAGTATAGCTGCATCTTGGGTGGGGTCTTCCCTGTGCACAGGAGTAGTAGTAGTAGTAGTAGTAGTAGTAGTAGTAGTAGTAGTAGTAGTAGCGGTAGCAGTAGTAGCAGCAGTAGTAGTAGTAGTAGTAGTAGGAGTAGTAGTAGTAGTAGTAGTAGTAGTAGTAGTAGTAGTAGTGGTAGACGTAGAACAATGGACGGTGGACAGTGTCGTGTATATTCCCTCTGGCAACAATATATTCATGACATCGTTGATGAGCCTGCCCTGCCCCACCCCAGTCCAACTTGCAATCTGTTCCTGCTGTTGCTGCTCCGGCTTTTGCTGCTGTTGCTGTCCACTGTTCACTGTTCATGGTCTTCAATGCTCACTTTAAATCCTGCTTTCAAAGCCCCTCAAGGCTCCCAAAACGAAAAGGTCAGAAGGTTAGATACCAACGAACGGAAGGTCAGTTGCTTTGAACAGGGATTGAAAGGCAAGGGGCCAAACCCCCGCTACGGCAAGGGTGCCGATGGCACGCTACTGAAGAGCGCTATCCACCATGGAGAGCACCTCTACTCGCTAGGGCGGGAGGACGTGGCACTTATGTGTCGCTACACCCACCCTCCCGCTAACACGCCCCAGGGGGAGCGCGCTAGCGAGTTGCTGGCCATGCTGCTACCAAGCTGCTATACGCAGTACCAGCCTGGTCGCTGCCGCTACTCCCTCGGCCACTGGGACGCTAACGCCTGTATTTTCAGGTGCGCTACGACCTGCGAGGTCTGTTCGCTAAGAGCCTGTAACAGGCGGATGTGGTTTAAGTGCGACGACCACCTCACTGTTGTGATGGGTGCAAGCAGTGGAGCCGCGGGGAGGATTGGGGCGGCCGCTAAAACGGGCAGCCCCTGCCTCGCTACAGGCCCCGGCCTTGCTACTTGCACCCGCTACTTTTGCTTTGCATGCGGCTACTCTTGCAGCGCCCTCTGCTGCCGACCGCTAGCTGCAGCAAAAGTCCAGGTCGTCCCTCGCTACAGTTGCCAGTGTGTGCGCGCTACAGTCATGCTACACACCAGCCCGGGCTGTTCGACATCATAGCAAGCATCACTTAACAAAAGAACCATCGATTAGCTTATTCGATGGTTAAATCTTGGTTTTTCACTTCTCGATATTGGATCGATGAAAAATATCGCAGAACATGCACGTCCTGGAACTTTGCCGTCACGTATACAACATGCTCCGGAAATTGCGATGGAGCTGCTGATCTGGCGCAGAATTTTGTTGAGTGGAGTGAAAATTCACAGCTTTCGGTGTAAACGTGGATCAAAAGTTGTCGTGCCTACAGCAACCTTGTTGTAGTTCTGTGTTGCCCTATATGTTTCCTGCTAAAAAATGTTGTTGTGGTCGTCGTGGTCGTAGTCGAAGTTCGCAGTCGTGGTCGTCGTTGTCGTCGTCATTGTCGTCATCGTTTGTGCTCTGGTGTGTGGTCGCGGCTTGGTCTGTAGATTTTGTATCATGTGTTTGTTATATGTGTGTGTTTGTATGTATATGCATGTGTATATATATATAGATATATATGTATATGTACATATATATATTTATATGTTCACACACCACCACCACCACCACCACCACACACACACACACACACACACACACACACCCCAGAGGGCAAGAGCAAGAGAGAGAGGCAGAGAGTGAGAGAGAGGCAGAGAGAGAGAGCGGGAGACTGCGACAGCGGCACAAAGCTCTCCGGTGCAATCGCTCCGAGGGATTTTTTATCGCCACCGAAGGCAAGCCTGCAATGCATACTTCATGCATGCGTGTTTCGCAAGATTTGCCGGTTGGCACTTGGAGGCGATGCCTTTGCACCGCCTCACAAAATCTTCGTTGAGATAGTTGTGCATATGTCGCAAGTTAAGAGGAAGCGTATCGAAGATAGCGTGCTCGACCATGTGATTTTTCGGTCGCACCGGCCACCGGCACAATCCTGCCTGTAATGCTTCTCCGTTGAGGCGGGCATAGCCCGCTCGAAAAACCATATAGGCCGTTCTCATAGTCTGAACTGCATCACCGGAAAGCTTTCTCCCACTTTTCAGCATGATTGTCTCAAGAGTGGCGAGGGACATACATACACCTGCCCGAATCCTTGGGAGCGAGATTTAAACTCGGGTTTGGTATCTAGGGTTTGGGGTTAGGGTTTAGGGTATAGGGTTTAGGGTTCAGGGGTTAAGTTTAAGGTTTGGGGCTTGGGTTTAAAATTTGGCCAAGGATCTCGTAGAAGGGATCACCGGGGTGCTGTTCCAACAAGTATGCCATAAGCTGACCCAACCAAAATATGGCATAGCGTGCTGCTGCTGCCGAGAGATGCTTTTGCGATATGTTCAAGTACTCCTTGGAAGTAGGATGAAGGGTGGCACTGGTGAAAAGCTTCCTGGAAGCTCTGTCCACCACACCTGTCGACTTAAGCTCCATACAGTTCGATATAGGGTTTAGGGCACAGGGTACCTTATTTAAGGTACTAGACTCCAGCTCGAGCCTGCGTCTTCGCACCAGCTTCGGTAGGACTCGAAGAGTGATGATAGCTCAGATTCTCGCTGCGGCCCATCGCTAAGATCGCAGAGCAAGCTTCCCAAAATGTCGGGGTACATTGCCAGGTGCAGCAAGTGCATAATGTCCGGCCAAATTCCTTAATCTAGAATCTAGAACAAAAACATCCTGAACATCGGGCTTATAAGCCTCAAGGTGTATAGTCTCAAGGTTCCGGGCTCCAAAGAGTCATAACTCTAGCTGGAAAACCCAAGACCCTAAACCCCAAACCAAAAAACAAATATTGAACAAAATCTGATAACAGATTTGTGAGCTTCGCCATGGGCAGAAGCCCGTGATCTGCGTCAGCGGGCTCGCCCCGTGGATTCGGCGAAACTCGTCGGCGTCCTTCAGCAGCGTCTGTCGGTGTGCAGCCTGCCCTCCGAAGTTAACGAACAGCAAGTTTGGATCATTTGCAGCCCCATGGTCGTCGTTGACGTAAGTCCATTGAAGTGCCTCTCGGGATCTCGGGTTCGCACAGATATTGCTACTTCAACTTCATACAAGTGTGCATGCAATCCGCCTCGCATAAAAAGCAGCATTGTTGTCGGGAATAATCGCCTCAAATCGGCGGCAAGTTATTGGGTCGGTTTAGGGTTCGGTATAGATTTATAGGGCTATATATCTAGGGTTTAGCGAAAATATAATGAAGCTGAGGTTCGCTTCAAGAAAAAAATTTTCTTGATGAATTCAAGGTCGGCCTGGAAGCCGTCAAGGATTCCGCACTTTCCGCCTGCTAATGGGCGCCCTGCGACCTTCCACCGGAGGGGTTCGTACTCGTTGCTGAACAATCGTCCCCAAGCATCGGTTGAGGGATACCGGCCGCTTGCTAGCGATTCCATAGACCAGGACAAAACTTCTAGAATAGCCCATCTTGATTCATCGCTGTGATACATCATGTTCAAGCATGATAACCTCGGATGCAGGATCATGGTTATAAACTTCGCCTCGACACCGATTGGAATTATATGCAGTCCAGTCGCAAGAATCTGCCATCCATCGTGGACGATCTACTAAGCGGTGAGATCAAGCAGAACATCTCGAATTTCTGCTTTTCTTGGTTTGGACAGAATGAAGGCAAAGCTGTTGTATATCACAGCATGTCGCAAAACTTGTTTGCAAATGGGCTGCTGGTGAACTCTGCCCCATCGCCATAGAGGCGTAGCGGAACACAGTCTCCCCAGTCGGATGCCTGAACTTCGCCATGTCTTTAACAATAGCACCAAGACACGGCACGTATACCTCGATGCAGCTGAGGAACATTACTCAGGATCGGATGATCCCGGCACCACTGCTGATCTTGATCTGCCCAGTAATCCCGAACCTTGGATTGCACGGAATGCCAAGCGTTTGAAATCGAGACACAGTGGGCTTAGGGTTTCAGGCTTGAGTTGGTGTGTTAGGATTTGGGGCGTAGCTTGTATTTCTGCGATCCAGGCTAGCAGCATGCTGAGTGCTCTCGTAGAGCAAATCCGCATGACCAGCATCATGCAGCGAAGCGAAAATCTCGTGAGGAAGAAACATGTGGTGGGTGACCTCCCGGGTAGTTCTAGCCCCACGAGCATCCTGGTAGCAGGCTGTGAGGGGGAACCTTGGTTCGTGTGTTCGGAGGATTTCTGGCTTTGTACGATTTGGACGGAGCAGTGCAGCTTGGGCTCGTAAATGTCATCGGCAATGCCTTCCTCCAAGGCTGCTTGTGTATCCATCGTTCCAAGAGTCGCATCTGCCCCCAGGAATTAATTTCCCCACGAAATGAAGTGGCCAGCTCCAGCAAGTCTGGCCTCGGCGGGTGAATCGAGGCCCAAGTACATTCATAACATTAATGGACGAGGTGCGGCACCAGGGCATGAGGGAGCCGGTACACACTTTGCAACGATGTCGCCACATCCGCCAACGGAACCTTCAGGGTTTGGAGGGATCTTATTGTTTCTGTCATGTAGTCGTGACATTGATCGTGCACAAACCATGCACCTGTCCATTGGAAAGATGTTTCAAGACTTGGTCGCAGGTCTCTTGCACATAGTTTCGCATGTAATCGCCAGCATCATTCGAAGAAGCGGACATCACCAAAGTCTCTATATGTTTAGGGTCTGAAACAGCTAGGGTCTGGGTGTGGGGTTCAGGGTTTATGTTGGTTTAAGAACCCACACTCGGGACTGGGCTCGTGCTTATGATGAGGCTTCGGGGCTCGGGTTCATGGGTTTCGGCGCTCACGGGGTTCAATTTAGGGTTTACAGCTTATAATAGGGTTTGGGCTTCTACGGTTGTCCATGATGACACAACAGCTGGGCCAGCTGAGTTGCAAGCTGAGGCGGCACAGCACTGATGCACTGGGACGACTTCATACACATGGTCACATGGGTCTGCAGGCAGCGACTGCTCACGACTCCAATCTTTTCTTGCGGACTCATCACGAGTATTCGCAGCAGGAACACAGAAGCCATGCGTGTATGCATGGGGCAGGGTCTCGAGTGCTCAGTGTCCCCGGAAGTCTGGAGTGGTTTTATGCATCGGGCTAAGCTATGCGTGCAGCCGACTAGCAGAGTCTAAGATGCCTGCTGCATGCACACCGGCCACACACACTCCGATCCTGCAGACCCCAGGAAAATTAAAGCCATGAGCTCACTTCACCCGCTTTGCAGGTGGCTCCTCGTCTTCTGGCCACTCCTCTTGCGGCTGCGTGCCATCTCCAGGCTCGTCATCGTCGAATGCATCATCATCGTGCTCGTCTCCTTCTCCCAATTTCTTTTTTTCTTCCTTCTCTCGCTTGCGTTTCTCTGCAGCAAGGCCTGCAGAGGGAGAGATGAACCATGTGCACATCGATCATGTACATGCCAACCATATACATTTGAGGCCAAAGTGCGTCGCTTGTGGGAGTCGACGATGTCTTCTGCATCTGTGATGATTTTGCCCTTTGCCTGCAGGGATGTGGAAACATGATGGTCTTGGGCTTAGGGTTACTATTCTAGGGCTTATAGGGGCTTAGGGTTTAGGTGTCGTTGTGGTTTTTTATATGAGACATGCACACGGAAGCCTCCAGTGCCGGCTTGTGCTCATCCAGGGCAGCAACACATTCCTCCGTAGGCGTGCAGGCGAAAACCATTTTCTGAAGCCTCGGGTTGATGCATATACTCGAACATGACTCGGTCGATGATGCATGCATGCAGCAGCGACTGGTCGCAGATTAAAGTAGATAATGCCACTCCGAGCATCTCGTTGAAGATGCCGATGCAATCCGTCGAGATCTCACCGAGGTTCTGCACCATTTTCTGTCGATCAGGCAAGCACACGTTGGATTGGGACATCAGAGGGTTAACTTTTGGGTTTAGGTGGAATGAATGTGAGGCCTGCAGACATGACCCAACAAGATCTGATCCCTGCCTCCTGGTTTTTGATGCCATAAGACGTAATCGAGGTGGCCAGCAGAACAGCTTTATCCGAAAGGGCCCGTACCCTGAGTTGGGTTTGCATGCTGCGTGGCAACAAGCAAGCGAATATATGTAGCTTCGGAACCCCATATGATCACGTTGAAAGTCTTTGTTCATCTTCTCGTCGGCCGTCAGCTCCTCAACAGGCACCGTTTTGGTATTCGGGGGGGAGAGTTTAGGGTATATGGGGTTCTAAGTGGTTAGAAGCGTTTCAGGGCCAGGGCTTTGGTGTGTGTAGGCTTGGCTACATGCAGGCCACAGTCTGGATTGGGGTTTAGGTTGTAGGGTTATACGGTGCGGCGTGGGTTTGGGGTTTAGGGTTCGTGGTTTAGAGTTTATATATAGGGTTTAAACTGTGATGTAGAGATATGTAGAGTCGCACTAAGATCATGGTCACACACACACACACTAGCTTTATCTCTCGTTCTCTCCCCTCCCTGGCCTTCTTCGGCTTTGGTTTCACCTTGGGCTTGGGCCCGTCGCCGCCGGTTACGGCGGGCTTGGACATAGCATTCACCTTCATTTCAAGTGTCTCCGCCAGGGCCTGGCGTTCTTTGCCGTTCTGCGACGGCGTGATACTCGCACTGGTGCGGCTGCCGCTGCGGTTGATCTGGGAATCTCGGCGGCATTCTTTTATAGGTGCAGACGTATCAGATCGATGTGCACAGGCAAGCAAACAGCACTAGAATGCAGTCTGGCGTCTCAGGTTGTCGATGCACTTAAAGATCTTGTAGATTCTCCAATTGGGGTCCGTAGTCTGGGGGTGCTCCTTGCCCTTCTGGCCTGCATGGGATCTATTTAGAAAACCCTAACCCTAAAGCCCTAAACCCCAAACCGAAAAGGAACAAGTCAGCTCCGGAATCTCGGGCGAGCACTTTTTTGCAGGTCCTCCACAAACTTCTCCCCTCCTGGGAGGTGAAGGTACTTCTCCTTGATCTCGCATAGTGGGAGTTCGATAAACCTTTCTGTGTTCTTTTGCTCCGAGAGCCTTGGATGAGCTGCAGCGAGGGTTAGGGGTTTCGGGTTTAAGGGTGTTTGGACCAGCGGCTCTTCGAAGTACGGTTGGATCTCGATGGCCGTCATATCGCGATCTAACAGATATGCCTTGAGGAAGGCAAACCTGGGTTCAGGATTGGGTTTTAAGGTTTTAAGATTTTTTGAGGCTTTAAGGGGTTTAGGGTTTAGTGTGATGCCTGGGCACTTGTCCTGCGGGGACACCGCCGACTGCCACTGCTCAACCAATCCTTTGCGTAGTCCTCGTATATATAGCAGATCGAAGTAGAAGTATTCCTAAACCCTAAACCCCTATAACCCCCTAAGCATGAAAGCGAACCTTGTGCATTCTTCATGCGGCGTCGGAGGCCCTCGTTGAGCCGCTTCCGTTCAACCAGATCGATATCCTCGGGTCGTTCCAAAGCCTTAGAGTCACCAAGTCGTGCGAGGAGCCTTGAACTAAACTGCGAGGTTACTATAATAATATGGATGGAAGCAAGCCACCTCGATCTCCTTGATCTCCTGCTCCGACAGACTCCGAGCCTCCAGCGGTTCGTGGGGCCTAGGGTCTGGGGATTATAAGCAAAGGTGCAAATAAGGCCAGGAATGGAATTCAATTGAGCCAAATAACATCATTCGGGTTGCCCTTGAAGACGAAACCCTTCTTTCTGGGAGTGCTCGAATCGGCCGGTGATGGCTCCAAGTCCGATGCTTCAGTCCCCCATGAGTCAGCGGTGTCGGTGCGGCGTGGCCTTAAGTGCATGTGTTGCGGGCAGCAGCAACGACGTTTGAAGATTTCAGCCAAGCGACCTCTTGGACTCCGCCTCCTGCTGGGGATCCACTGTTTTGCCTGATGGACACAGAAACAGACAGGTCTTGAGAAAGACCAAGATCGGAAGTTGAAAAAACGACCCAGCATGAGAATGGTCTGAGTCTAGGGCTTATAAATTATAGGGGTTTAAGGTTTCCGAAACCAAGGACCCAGACCCTCGAGAGGGGCCTTTGGATTCGCTCTTTCCACCAGCCTCGCCCCAGGATCTCTTCTGCTGATTGAGGACAGCCTGTCCTTCATTCGAGCCTCGGCCACCTTAGTTGCAATATTATACGACCAGCCCAAGAGGCACAATTTTATTAACCTCACGAAGCAGCATGCATGTCATGTGTATATACAATATATCACATGCATGTGTGTGCGTGTGTATACATGTATACGATATATGCATGCCAAGACATGAGCCCCCCGGCCTCCCACAGCTTTCTGCGGGCTTTCTTGCTGGCCTTTCGCAGGCACACCGAACAGAGCTTCGAAGCCCTCTTTTGTGCACAAGCCCATCTTCTCGCCTCCCCCCTTCTGGGCAGGTGTTCGTGCAGTGCTCTTTGTTTTGCCCTTTCCTTCTTCTTTTCCCTTTTCCTTGCCCTTCTCGACGGCAGCTTTGCCCGGAGTGCCCTTGTCCTGTCCCTTTCCTTTGCTTTTCTCCTGGCCTTTCTCGGTTGTGGCTTTGCCCTTCTCTTTCCCTTTTCCCTTCTCCTGGTCTTTTTCGGCCGTGGCTCCTGGCGTGTCGCCTTCCTCCTTTCCTTTTCCTTTGCCTTTGTCCTGGCCCTTCTCGGCTGAAGCTTTGCCCTTTTCCTTGCCTTTTCCCTTCTCCCGGCCCTTCTCGGCCGTGGTTCCTGGAGTGCCGCCTTCCTTTCCTTTTCCTTTTCCCTTCTCCCGGCCCTTCTCGGCCGTGGTTCCTGGAGCGTCGCCTTCCTCCTTTCCTTTTCCCTTTCCCTTTTCCTGCCCTTTGTCGCCGGCAGCTTTGCCCTTCTCTTGTCCTCTTCCTCCCTTTTCCTGGCCTTTCTCGGCTGTGGCTTTGCCCTTCTCCTTCCCTTTTCCCTTCTCCTGGTCTTTTTCGGCCGTGGCTCC